GTTCTTAAGAATTCATATCGTCGGAGTAGTACGTTATTTCTTAAGAACAAGATAGTTGTAGATCCTCCTCCACCAAAGTATGATGGAAATTACATACTCAATCAATTTCGTGATTTTGATATAGATCGCACTAGTGATTGTGGAGGTAATGGTAATGAAAAGATAGACGGATATGGTGAGCATCATAATTGGCATAAGAAGTCTATCTTCTAGGAATTGCCATATTGGAAACATCTTTTACTTCGGCACTGCTTAGATGTAATGCACATTGAGAAGAATGTTTTTCAGAACATCATTAACACCATTTTGAATGTGCAAGGGAAGACTAAAGATAATGTAAAGGCGAGATTGGATTTGCCTGAAATTTGTGCACGTGAGGATCTACATTTGCTAGCAGAAGGAGTAGGCCAAGTTCCAATATGGGGATTAGATTCTGCAAAGAAATCCGCTTTTTTCAGTGGATCATCGAATCTGTAAAATTTCCAAATGGATACTCCGCAAACCTCACATATTGTGTTGATGATTATAGTGGAAGATTAGCCGGCATGAAAAGTCATGACTGTCATGTCTTCATGCAACGATTACTACCATTTGCTTTTGCGCATCTTTTACCAATTGAAGTCCATGAAGCAGTTGCAGGTATATGCTTTTTTCCCTTTAACAATATGTAATTGCATTGGTTGATTAACAAAAGTTTGGAATGCAAGTATTAGCTCATTTTTTAGGGATTTGTGTTCGAGATCCCTAAATTCTCCTGGGTTACGGAGGCTTAAAGAAAATGTGTCGATCATCATTTGCAATCTTGAGAAAATATTTCCGCCTGCCTTCTTTGATGTGATGGAATACTTGCCTATACATCTACCTCGTGAAGCTGAACTAGGGGGACCGGTCCAATATAGATGGATGTATCCTTTCGAACAATTCATGTTTCATTTGAAGAAGAAAGTTAAAAATTTAAGCAAGGTAGAGGGTTCAATTGTTGCACAGAGTATCAACGAGGAGACATCACACTTCTCTTCCTATTATTTTGCACCAACTGTCCAAACAAAATTAAGAAAAGCTGGAAGATACGTTGATGGCGGGGTAAAACCAAGTTACCATACGTCAGTCCCAGATATTTTTGCACAAATAGGGTGACTAAGTGGAAAGCAAAGAGAAGTCTGGTTAACTGATAAAGAGTCTGATCACATTCATACATATATCCTTCGCAACTGTGACAATGTTATACCGTTTGAAAAGTAAGAATATCTATTTTTCCTTTTATTATTTTTTATTTATGATATTCATTGATAGGAATGGTCCATCTATGTAATGTGTGTAGTATTTTTGTCGAACAAGGTAAAGGAGCTTATGTAGACATCACTGAGTCCGCAATTGAGGATATGAAACAAGCTGAATATGCGAAATGGTTAAAATATTATGTAAGTTACCCGATAATTGTGAAGTGGACATATGTGATATTTGAAACAACTTGGTGTTTGACTTTTATACATTAATTGCTTCTATGTAGGTCATGTCAGCTGCTAGTAGGAATGAACAATATCCTACTTGGTTTAAAGAATTGGTTGGTGGACCTTTGTCAAGAGCGATGGCATCACCAATGTATTGCACACGTCGAAATGTATTTAGAAAACGACCAACCATAGGATACAAGAAAACAGTTAACTACGGAGTACTTGTTCGTACAGAGACGGAAGAATACTATGGCGAAATCGTAGACATTTTGGAGGTTGAGTATTCGGGTATTATCAATTTGAAATGTATTCTCTTCAAGTGCAAATGGTACGATCCAACATATGGTGGCGGTGTTCGTATGACTAAATTTGGTGTAACTGAAATAAACTCCGCAAAGAGATTACGCAAGTATGATCCGTATATACTAGTGTCGCAGATATCACAGTTTTGTTACTTGCCATATCCTCGAGTAAGTCAAAGACAAGACCCATGGATCACAGCGCATCACATTAATCCAAGTAGTCGAGTTGATGGCTTTAAAGACACAGAAGCAATGCAACAGAATGTAATACATAACATTACTCAAATCGAACAATTTGATGATCCAGTTCCGCTAATTGATATCAATAATGTTGATGTTGAAGAGGTATATGATGATGACGAAGAAGAAAGCGACGAATTTGAAGAGTCTAGTAACTCAACTAGTTCAGAGTACTCATCGATTTAGAATAAATGTCAAAAACTTGAAGTGATTGTACAATATCGTATGTTTGGTTAGATAAAGAAGTTCATTTATTGTATTATGTTTTAGGTAAACAACTCCGCCGATTTTCCAACGAGAATAGGGACATGTTAGTAATAGATTTGTATTTCCAAAAAATATAAGTAATCTCCGATGACTTTCCGACGACTTTCCGACGACGTTTTCCGACGAGTTTCCGACAAAATTATTCCGACGAGATTCCGACAAAAATATTTCCGACGAGTTTCCTACGAAATGTACTCGGAAACTCGTCGGAAAGTTATGCCACTAAATACCGACGACGTGTGGTCGGAAAACCGTCGGAAATATTTTTCCGACCCGTTTCCGACGAAATCTCGTCGGTATTTCGTCGGATAAATAAGGTTCATTGGAACGCGGTTGATATTAATTACCGCTCATTTTTTACGCAATTCCGACGAATATTTCGTCGGAAATTTTTGTATATATAAGTCAGTCGATTTTCACCATCCTCACACCACAATTCATTTTCACTTCCCCTAATCACATTTTCACTCCTCTCTCTCTCTCGAAAATTCCTCGCAAATTCCACAAATTTGTTGAAGAAAAGAGGTTGTATTCATATTTTTGTTCATTTATTTCAAGCTTTTTCCATATATAAAGATACTAATAGTTTATATGTCAATTTTTAGGTTATGGCCGATAGAACATGGAACGGATACATGGATTACTGCCAAAACTTGGAAAGGGGCAACATGTATCCCGGTGGAAGCAGTTCAGATCCCAGCCGCCAAGCCAACCTATTCTCGATGATAACATGGATACTATAGTACCTGCCACTGGTCCAGACGAGAATGAAGAACCGATGGAAGCAGAACAACAACATCCTCTAGACACCACGACATTGGAACAACTCTTGCGAGCTCCGGGACGGATTCATTTGAAGAGATTCGATCCATCTCGAATAGATGGATCGTACTAGTAATTCCATCATTATAATTATTTATAAGAATTTATTTATGAACTTATAATTGATTACAGTTTATTTAAAAATTTGTAGCTATAAAAATTTCTAGTTATAAAAATTTAATTATAACTATTTAATGATAACTATATAATGGAGAGTGATTTTCCCGAACCCGCTCCTAATTTTTCTTCGGTCTCGGGAGAAACCAAGGATCGGTGGTACAAAGCGTTTGCGTTATGTTACAAATATTATATTTCAATTTTTTTTTTTAAATTATTAATTTTAGATTAAAAATATTAGATTAATAATTTAGCTTACAAATATTATAATTTTTTGATTTTATTTTATAATTTATATTTATTAAAATGTTGTAGCAAAAATATTATTGGGCGTACGAGGTAAATACCGAAGTGCGAGAACAATTTGATGTGATATGTGCTAAACGTCTCAAAGACAACGCATATGAGTGGAAAAAAAAGTGGAAAAAAGGGAAAGACAAACCAAAATTTATGCGAAGAGCGGTTTGGAATGGCTTGATCGAGTATTGGGAAATAGAAAAAAATAAAGAGCGTGGCGTAACCAACTCTAAAAACCGAAAGAGCGACCGCGGAGGTTATGGTATGGCAAAACACACTTGTGGAGCTGTACCATATGTTCGTAAAAGAGAAAATAATATAGTTCTTTTTGAAGCGTGATCCGGAAACGGGCCTTCTCCCCGATATGGTGACTTTCATAGAAGAGTCACACCGTCGCAAATCAGATGGAACGTTTGTGGATAAAAAGGCGGAAGTAATTGCTCAAAGATGTAGAGCTGCATAGGAGGAGAAGCTCACCCAACTATCTCAACTTTCAGATACTCTTCCAAATTACCAATTAACCGTTGGCGAGAAAGATGAAATATTTCGTTCGGTAATTTTTCTATCTTCTATTATTATAATTTTTAAAACTTATAATGATTAATATCTAATGATTATAATTTTTTGTAGCAAGTGGAGATGAAAAAGGGACGTAGATTTGGAGTTGGATCAATACCTTTTGACGATGTTGGAGCAGGATCAAGCTCAGCTTCGCATGCATCACAAGCATAAATGACCGCAGCAAATGAGGAAATAGCAGCATTAAAAGCTGAAATGAAGCAAATGCGTTTTTGGTCTCAGTTGATGGCCTGACAATATCCAGACGCCGTTCCTCCTCCAGGTCCAAGTTCGCAAAATCCAACTGTGCAGAGTGAATCAGATAACTTTGATTTCGATTTTGGTCGATCATGAACAATTTGTCGTATGTTTTTAATAAGTTTATAGAACTTTAAATTTTAATTCTGTTTTTGTATTATATAATCTACTCAATTATTAAATAGTTTTCTTTAAATAATTTTCTTTTATAATTTTTAATATATATTATCTAATAATAATATATATTTTCAAAAAAATAATATAAAACCTTCCGACTAATTTCCGACGTATTTGAAGTGGCTGTCTGAAATTAGTCGGAAAACAGAACCGGGAAAATTTCCGACGAATTTCCGACGAATTTCCGACGACAGCAATTTCCGACTAATTATGCGACTATTTACCGACGATTTTTTCCGACTATTTTTCCGATAAAAAACCGGCGAAATTTCCCGACACTATTCTGACGACCGTTTCCGACAACTTCCCGACGAGACCATCCGACAATTTTCCGACAAAAGCTTCCGACTAATATCCGACGAGCTTTTTCCGACGAAATTCCTGCTAACCGTTTCGTCGGAAATTACTGACCAATTTCCGACGAATTTACGTTTCCGACCAAGGATTTCCGAGGAGTTTGATTTCGTCGGAAATTAGTTGAAATAGCTCTTTTCCGACTAATTTCCGACTATATCAGTTGTTGGAATATCCTATGTTTTCTTGTAGTGTTTGTCTCTTGGCTATAGGTTAAGAGCAGCTGGGATAAGATAAAATGATACACACCCGTTAGAATAGATTCATTTCTATCGATGACTAATATATTCATTACAGTAACCATATTATTTGTTGTACAAATATTAACCTGATCTCCGGAAACGATGGCTGCCGGATTCACCATGTCAAGAGATTCTTCAGACATTTCCTCGGTAATTAAGCCATTCATTTGAAGGACTTTAGACACTTTGTACGAATCCTTACCGCCCCATATGTTTTCTTTTCCCACCGTCAATAAGAAAAGAAAGGTTTTGCCAACCAATCCCTTTATTTGATCAGGAACATCATCATGGTTTTCAATCTACATATATTATTATAAGGTTAGTTGTGAATATACATCCAGAGATAGGAATTATACATAATGATAACATTACCTCATTAAATGAGTCACCAAGAACAACATAAGCGTGTGCACCAATAATATCTTGAGCAATACTATCAAAGAGTAGACATTTTGTATCACCAGTTGAATCCATAACCTTGGCATAAAGCATGTACATGTTATTATGAGACAGTGGCATTAGTTAACCAAGTTTCAATCGGTTTTTTCTAAAATACTATTTAATAGAAGGAACATACTTTGCAACTACTCTGGTTACAACAATTTTGCAAACATCGCACCAAAGCTTTGGTTTGGCCTTCGTAGTGCTATTAGCACTGGATCCTTGATGAATTGGAGTAACCTTTTTGTTACAATTGCAACAACTGAAGTAATACCACGCCCAATCTGTGTCAATAGCGTATATTGTGCACATAAGTCTAGCTTTACCCTCCTACAATGTACAATAAGTTAATATTTACGAATATCAAAAAACGCATTGTAAAAGACTGGTCAACCTAAGAATGTCTTCATGTAGATTAGAGTAAACAATTTATCTCATAAGAACCTAATAGTTCTGTGATGGTCTTCCTTGAATACTCGAGGCCACAATTTGAATTGCTGATATTAGTAATTGCTAACCGTGGAACATTCTCACGTACAGCCAGTGCAAGACCATCGTGGGGTAGAGTACATATCGAATGAGACGGATGAATATAAGTATTTACTTAAAGAAAACGTAAGATGAGATACAAATAGAACGTACGATTGTGTGAACACGTCGACTTCAGGGAAATGTGGATTAATTTGAAGCTGGGAAGCATCAAATGAGTTCGAGACACTCTTGTTACCGTTATAAGTCTTAATTTTTGCAAATTTAAGCACACAGACAACCATAAAGCCGTCTGACTCAGCACATGCTCGATAAACTTGGGATGCAAATGCACCCCACAAAGTACATGCCATTATGTCATCCATGTTTAACAATAAATGTGTATTCGTGTTAGTTCTAGTATAGACGAATGTTATTATGTTAAATGGATCTCCCAAACAAAATTACTTACGTCTCGTCTCGCAGTTCGAAGTCAATCTTCGTAGTTGGCTTATTATTAGCTTCAATAGTTTCTATCTCACCAATATTTACGATCTGACCCATCACATCTGCGGATACACATATACGAACATATGTAAGGAAACGAATGTAAATGATATGTTAAAAGTAAAAGCGAATGTAACATATACGTATGTAAGTTAATAATAATATGTTTGTATCACATGTTAATAACATAAACGAATTTAAAAACACGTATTTAAAAACAAACACGTTTTCTTACAATATCCAGCGGATTAACATGTAACGAATATAAGAAAAACGAATTTAATTTACCAATCAACATAGATGGGTTGAGGTCTCCACTCTGTATTTTTGAGAACTTAGCCAAACTCAAGAAGTTCGAGTCGGAGACAGGATCACTCATTGTCACGACGGTGCCGTTGATGAATGCCATCTTATAAAGATGGTTTGTACGGCGAAACTGCCCAGAGGCATGGGTGAGTTGGAAGTTCTCAATAAACCTCCAATCACCGACAGGGAGATTATTGACATAGTGGTTCACCAGATCTTTTTTCACTGAGGCATGAATCTTGCAACCCTATATATAAAAAGATCAAACTTGTTAGTAATGACGGAACGTATCTAAAACATGGTCGAAACATACGGTAAATGAGCAGTTAAGTACTAACCTTGTCATCAGAAACAATCAACTCTAAGGTTTCAGCGGTCATGCTCGTATATTGGCGCCAAGAGTGAAGGACTTTCACCTGGACCCTCCATGCGGTTTTGTAAGGGCGGACGTCCCGTAAGAAAGCGAATGATGCAGCCATTATCGATATTGAAAAGCTTATGTGTGATACTAATGGAATCGATTGTGTGTAAAGTGTGAAACGATGGTTTCTGTTATGTGGGATATATATAGTGAAGGATGAGTAGTGTAGTGCTTCTTTAGGTTTAGTTAGGTCGGCCGAAAAATTTTAAAGAAAGTTTCAATCACATGAAGGATTTGATTTTAAACAAGCCCTACAATTATGCTATTGAGTTAATACATTTCCTTTAAGAAACAAATCTCGACCATATGTCCCGATGAAGGAATAAATATAGATTTCAGTAATCGTTTAACTTGGGGAGGTATTACCTAATTGTGATATTAATACCATGATCTTGCAATATAAGGAAAGAAGTATGTTTAGTAGTCGAATCCCAATAGCATTTGTTTGTCATTTGTTTAAATATTTGTTAGTAAAGAACATATGCGACAAGCCCAATAGCACCGTGAGTATCTCTCAACTTTATTGTGAACGTGTGTATTAAGGCTAGTATTCATATAGTTAAATCGGGTCTGATTTCAAAACACATAAACTGACCCGCAATGGTTATTTTCCCTTTTATCCTTAATGAAATAGTTTTGTAAAGTCAATCGTGAAGGGCAATATTTGTAAAAAAAAAGCTTCGCAAAGGGTGGTCAAAAAAAGGGTTGCAAAAATAACAAGATAGATGACTAAATTGTTTTTGTGTTGGTTTAAAGTGAAGTTTTTTTGTTTGTTTAATGTATATAGAATTTAAAAAAATATATATTTGGAAATTTTTTTTTTTTTTTTGAACAAACAAATATTTGAAAATTTATCAAATAAAATTAGCTGTTTAGAATTAAGAACATGTTTATATATAGCTGTAGTTCCTATAATAAATATGGTTATAATTTGTAAGTTACTTAATTTCAAATTATGATTACAAATCTATAATAGATGATGGCTAAATAGTTTTTGTGTTGGTTTAAAAGTTCAAACCTTTCATGCTAGACCCGTCCCACAATAGATATATAGATTTTTAACCCGCAGAAATCATCTTACGAAATCTAAAAACATACTAGCAAGAGCCTCCTTCAGAATCTCTCACCCAAATCATTCGAGTCGATTTTGAGTATAACTAGTAAAACCTAGTAGTACTGGTAAAACTAGTATAATTGGTAAAACTTGTAAAACCTAGTAGTATTGGCACTGGTAAAACTAGTATAACTGGTACAATTAGTATAACTGATCAAGTTAGTATAACGGTAAAACTAGTAAAACTGGTAATACTGATTAATGCAGTTGAACTAGTAGTATTACAAATTGAGTTTTTTGGATTTTTTTTGGCAGGATACAATGAGCGAAAACATTAGCATACATTATAAGTGCAAAGGTCTGAGGTATAATATTATGTTCAAGACAAAAGCGATTGATATAACGTTGTTGATGCTAAAAGGAATGACAAACAAGAAGGTTGGATATGTTCAGAGCCACGTTAGATTGGATTTATGCTACTCTCCGCTATTGGCAGAATTGAAGGAGAGGGAAAAGTGTACGCTTGATGATCATGACGATGTGCATGTGTATTTAATGTATTTTGATCATGAGAAGCGAAGATGTATGTTGTTTGTGGATGTCACAAAGGTATCGGAACAGCATGAGCAAGTGATTGATGATGATGATGATGATGATGATGATGATGATGATGATGATGATGAGGCTGTTAGAGTGGACCAAAGTTCTGTTGGTATGAATTATCAAAACCAATAGTGAAGAGATGGTGAGGCTAACGCTATTGTTCTATACGTAGAGAAAGAAAAAGGAAAGGGTGAAGAGGGCGATTCTGAAACTTTAGGACATGAAGAAGGTGATGAATATGTTGAACCACGACTTTTTGTAAGACCTTCTAAGTTTATAGAGCCATGGGAAGACGGTTTGGCTTTAAGTAAATTTCAAGAAATCCCAAACAAGAAAGGCATTGCAATAAGTGGTGGACAGAGCTTCGTTTCCTAACTGTTTTAGTATTACAATTGTGGAGTTGGATAAGGTGCGTTATGTGTTGAAATGTTTTAAACAAGGATGTACTTGGGGTTTAGGAGCTGCAATAGTTCCAGAGACTGAGATTTTCTCGATCCGCCAGCACAACAAGATGCATAGTTGCTCTCGGGCGAGTCAAAGTTCAAGCAACAGTAAGAGGCACGACACTCCGAAATTAGTTGCATCTCTTTTGCATGGTGATTATCAGGGATAGCTGGAAACTCCACGTCCCAAAATTATCAAGGAACTTGTGAAGACCAAATTAGGTGTGAGTGTATCATACTCGACGGCATTGAGAGGGAAACTTAAAGCCGTTAGTGATTTGCGTGGTAGCGCGGAAGAAAGCTACAAGATGCTCCCTTGTTATTTGCACATGTTAGAGATGGTTAATCAAGGTACGAGAACATACGTGCATTTGGATAAGAATAAAAAATTCATGTATTTGTTCATAGCTTTAAGAGTTAGCATTGAAGGGTTTCAAGTCATGAGAAAGGTTATAACTATGGATGAAACATTTCTAAAGAACGGATATAGTGGTGTTCTTGTTTTTGCCTCGGCTCAAGATCCTAATTGTCATCATTATCCCTTAGCGTTTGGTGTTTTTGATGGTGAGAATGATGCGAGTTGGATTGGTTTTTGGAGATGTTGAAACCGTTATTGGGAACTCTTCTGAAATAATATTTATGACTGAAAGAAATGCAAGTCTCATCAAAGCCATAGCTAATTTGTATCCACAGGCTCATCATGGGTATTGTATATACCATTTGTCCTAAAATGTGAAAGGTCATGCTTCCAACTGTAATAGAGATATTGTTGCATGGAGATTTATGGAGTGTAGCAGATTATACACAGTGCCTGAGTTCGAAGTGGGATACAGTTCTTTCAAGATAAGATATCCTTCTGCTGCCAAGTATCTTAAAGAATCTACCAAGATTGAAACATGGGTAAGATATGTATTTCCAGGAGAAAGGTACAACCTAGACACTATCAACAGTGTGGAATCATTGAACAACATATTTAAAGACGCTAGGAGGTACTCCTTAATACCCATGCTTGATGCGATTTTTGGAAAATTTTCTGAATGGTTTAGTGAACATCGGAAAGAGGACGTGTTTGTTTTAGTTGCAAATAAAGTGGTACCTTTTGTGGAGAATTACTTGCACGATTTATGGGGTGTTGTTGAGAAACTGAAAGTGACTGAGCTAAACACTTTTGAGCTTTAATACAATATCAGTGACAGCAACATGAAGCCTTATTTGGTGAATTTTCTTTTGAGGAGTTGTAGTTGCAGGTTTTTTGATATTCAAAAGTACCCTTGTGTACATGCATTGGCCGCTTTCACTAGAGTACCAAAAGACTAGAGATAGATGTAGGGATATCCAAATGCATGAATTGTGTTCAAGGTACTATTGGGCGGAGCCGTGGGCAATGGCGTATTACCAGAAAAATTTTCTAGTACCCGATAAGTCACAGTGGAACGTCCCAGATTACGTGGAAGAAAGAGAACTATAAGCTTTGCGTTTCCTGGAGAAAAGCGACCACCAAAGAGACCTAGGACACAAAATAAAAGGCGGCTGTTTGACCCTTCGGTTTGTACGTCTATTTTCTTGGTTATGCGACAGGGTAAAACTAGTAAAACTATCATATGTCTGGCATATGTAAAGTAAAACTGGTAAAATTAGTGAAACTGATATAACTAATATACTGGTAAAACTGATATATTGAATCACTTGTAAAACTAGTGAAACTAGTAAAACTGATATAAGATGTAAAAGTGACTTAAAAACTGAACCTAACAATGTATGTATCAATAAACGACATAATTAATGTGTTAATGGTGGTTAAGAATACAATTTTCCAAAATATATATATTTTGAGTAGGTATAAAAGAATTCAAACTAGTGTTTCCTTATACATCTAAGTTCACTTTGTAAATAATCACTAAGTTGAGATGAAGAAGTTATAGAATTATAGATTTTAAATATATGAATACATAGAATACTCATAATTATAAGTATATTGACATTAATCAACTAAAAAAATTTTTGTTTAAGAAAGGGTAAAACTAATTAAACTAAAAAAACATCAAAAGTACAATTATTTGCAATTGTGGCACAACTACAATCTAGGGTACAACTATGTGTGAACACAAATGCTGTCCACGTGGCAACTTGTTGTTGGTGCAATTGTTTTTCTCGAAACCTTTTGAAAATTTGCCCAAAACATTATGAAAATTTGCCCAATAAATTTAAAATTCCCGCCCAACAAAATTTCAAAATTTTTAATTTTTTGAAAAAAAATAAAAAAAAAATTTCTCATTCATCTTCTTCTTTTCTCTCATTCACATCTCTCTCTCATTCATCTTCTTCCTTCTTCTCTCGAGAATTCATCCCTCTTTTTCAATCTCTCTTTCTCAGTCTCACTCTTCACTTATGGTGCGATACTACCTAGGGGAGGATACATACTATATACACATGCATGTGTGTTGTGTTGCTTTATAGGATAATGGTTTCCACATGCGCAAATATTGAGTTGATGCGATTGAGGAAGATGTCAAAAGCTTGAGGAAGGACGTTGAAAAGCACACTGCTAGATTGAGGGAATTCGGAAACCATGACTTCCTCATCTCTCAATGAAGTTGCAGTTGGAAACCAATGCTAAAGAGACTGCCAATCTCTAGGAGCTAGTGTCAAGCCTTATGGGTCGAATAGAGACCTTAGAAGAAATTAGCTTTTGGTTTGTGTAATGCACCTGCAACATTTCAGAGGTGTATGACCTCTATATTCTCGGATTTGATAGAGGAGATGGTGGAGGTATTCATGGATGATTTTTCCGTGTATGGCTCCTCCTTCTCCTCATGTTTGTTGAATCTCTGCAGGGTATTAGCAAGATGTGAGGAGACAAGCCTAGTGCTCAACTGGGAGAAGTGCCACTTCATGGTGAACGAAGGGATAGTGTTGGGACACAAGGGATTGAGGTTGATAAGGCAAAGATTGAGGTCA